GAATCTCTACCTGAGGGGAGAAAATGACTGTGGCACACAAGTAACAAATTGTAAATGTCTAATGGGTATTTTAGAAAGCAAGGAAGATGTTTCTGTGGAAAAGACCAAGGGTAGAGAATAAAGAAAAGATTTTCAGGTTATTTTATATAAACATTGATTTATTTTAAATAAATATTGCTCACGTCCATGTCCAAGGCCAAGTGCAATTTTACTTTAAAGATGAAGAATAAAGACACTAAGAGAGGGATAGGGAATAAAAGTGAGGTTCCCTTGCTGACAGTGACTAAGCCATTGGGGCCTTCCTATCTCTCTGTAGATCTGAACGAGCCGGGGCTTGTGTCTCTGGTTGGGCTCAGCAAGCTGCCATCCAGCCAACCACTGGAGCTCCCAGCAGGAGCGCTCTCGCAGCACTGGAATTGGTTTTGCAACTGAAGACCAGACCAAAGCACCGAAGTGCAGGGTATCCACCCCAGGAGCCAAGCCAGTCTCCACAGCCGCTCTTGGTGATGCACCAATCCTTGGCTACCACATGAAACCTGAACTTCGGTGGTCAGCTACCTTGTGTGTGCAGAGACTCGGTAGATATCCCTGAGAAGCCACAGCTATGAACCAAGGCTTCCCATAGACACTTTCTAAGGAACGCAGAGAGGTGAGACTCAGTTGACTGCCTGTGGGATATAGGAAGAGTCCACTGAGCGGCTGCTGGGATATGGCAAAGTGGAGACCCCGAGTCAAACCTACCAAGATGTTCTATCTGGGACACAACAACTACAGGGTTTGTTCATCAGCATCAATTAAAAACCAAGTCATATAAGAAATGGTGATTGTGCAGGCTCAAAGAAGTAAGATTCTGGGAGGAAAGAAAAAATGAGGCATCAGGGGAAGGGAACGCTGTCGGGGAAGAAGAAAACCATAGAGGAATGGTTAGTAGTCCTCTGGCCTCACTCTGGTAGACAGTGACATGGAAACTAGAGTTTGGCAAGAAAGAGAAAGGGTGAAAGATAGCAAATGGGTGAAGAGAGATGTATCTGCAATGCTTGAAAGAGGAAAACTGAGGTTGGGGTAGGGGGTTGGAGAGAATGAAGGTTGTCTATGAGTAGAGAACATAGTGGGTGCCATGATGGTGTTTTCTGGCCCACTATCAGGATGGTGAGGAAAGAGGTGAGTGCCCTTGTGGGGAAAGTCATGATAGACTTAAACTGAGGCTGCTTCTGAAAAGACAAGGCTAATATACTATCAGTCTTACAACCTCCTCAACTCCCAGATCCAGGGATGAATGGATGAGGACACAAGGACTCCCTCAGCACCCAGGGTGCTTTCCTCGGGAACCTTCAGGGCAAGGGGAAAGATAACCAGTTCTTTTGTTGGGATGACTTTGTATTTGTTTCAGGTTGGTTCATTGGTTGGATTTTCATTAAGTGAACATAAAACACAAAATTGTACTTACTTCTAAGTTTGTTCTTATTCTGGAAGAAACATCTGTGAGTTCTTTGCTTTTTATGAAGTCCCTATGTGTGTGGTATGTTTGGCCCTTTCAAATCATTGTACTCTACCCACTCCCCTTCTGATAAGTGCCTAGATGGATCCTGTTTTCACAGTGGCTATGTCCCATTTTCCCAAAGTAACTTCCCACAGCTCACATCTGTCTTAATGAAGGTCATCAGTCTGGGATGAAATGCCAAGACCAAAGCACTCACGGGGGAAAGGGTTCACTTACCCTTATACTTCCTCATCACTTTATAGCAACTTGAATAGGGCAGGACCTGGAGGCAGGAGCTGATGCAGAGACCATTTTTTCAAATACCACCATACTCTGACCACTCTCCTTAAGATTCTAGAATCTTTATACTCTGGGTGGCAAACAGGCAGTGGGAGGAAGGGAAAGATGAGTGAGAGAGTCTATACGTGAAGGCTGTTTCTCAAACGCACTGACAAGAAGGAGTTGGCAGAGCAGATGGTTCTAGAAATAGTATGATATAGAGGAAGAAGTGAGGCTCCTGGGCAAATCTGAACTACATAGTAAGTAGAATAGCTGTGAGAGGAAGACAGAAGGTCTTAAGCAAAAGCTCTCGACTTAGATTCAAACTCTAGCACCTACAATCTAGGCAAATCCAGGAAAGCTACTCAACTTGGTTTCCCTGTCCATAAAGGGGAGAAAATAATGGTACCAAATTCATACTTACTGTGAAAATTAAGTGAGTTAATAATATAAAGTCCTTAGATTAGGACCTAGCTTTTGGGAATTGCTAAATAGGCCCTGATGATAGTGCCATCTTGTGAGTGGCACTCTTCCATGTGTAGGAGGTGCAAGGCATCCTCTTACATTCTTAAATACTCCTTTCTTGCTAAAGGCTAAACTTGTGTTCAGGATATTGTCCAAGCAGGATTCTATGTAAAAAGCATCAGAATATAGATTTATTTCTTTTGCAAAGTAGGGGTGGGTGTGAATCATCTGCTGATGATGGAAGGTTCTGCATCTATAGGTGACAGTGCCCACAATAAAATATATTGATGCCACCAGAGAGAGACCAAAGATATCAGTGACTCCTTGAGAGCCATCACAAAATTAAGCATGGTTTGTGGGCACAACTCAAGTGACACTGATTCTCAAAGATGTATGGGCAATAAAAACACAAACACATGGGGAATATGAGAAGGTCTGACATTTGATGGAGGGTGACCAGACAGCCACAGAGTGGCACAGGATGACAACCACAGGGTGCTTCCTCTCTCTCTCCAGTAACTCCACTTTGTACTCGGGCTCATTTCTTCAGCCCTCACTCTTCCATCTTGACGGTGTCTAAAGTCATTTTGGCTGTTTGTGTCTCTTCCCCCACAGCCCATAGTCTATGGTTTATTCCTTTCTGAGGTCCCCTCCCCTCTTTTCCCTTTCAGCAGGTATCCCTTTGCATTTGTACAATTACGGATCCTCTTGTCTTCCTTCTTCTAACCCTCATTGCTCATCCAGTGCTCATCACCCTTCTGAAAAATACATCTCAAAGCCACATACTTTCTGTGGGACCTGAGTGAGGCTTGTGGCAAGGTTCCAGCGACTTGGGCATTTCACCAAGTTGAAGCCCAACAGCACTGAACAATTCTATTACTTATGAGCTATGCCAAGAATTTTTTCCTAGACTGCATGATCTCCTACAGAGAAAGAGGTTGAGGTACTAAAATTGAGAGAGACGTGCCTCATTGGACTTTGCATAGAATTATAACCCAAATGCAAGTAGCTCTGGGGCTAGAGAAATGGCTCCATGGTTAAGAGCACTAGTTATGGGGGCTGGAGAAATGGCTCATCAGTGAAGAGCACTGATTGCTCTTCCAGAAGACCTGGGTTCAATTCCCAGCACCCACATGACAGCTCACTCCAGTTCCAGGGGATCTGATACCTATGCATGTGAGGCAAAAATAAATAATTTTTAAAGCATTAGCTGTTTTTCCAGAAGACTAGGATTAAATTTCCAGCACCTACATGATGGCTCACAGCTGTCTGTAACTCCAGTCCTGGGGGACCCAGTGCCTTTTTCTGACTTTGGTGGGAACCAGGCATGTACACAGTATACATACATACACTCAAGCAAAACACTCATACACATATTATAAATAAGTATTTTAAATGACTTAGTAGTTATGAGACCTGGGTTCTAGTCCCAGCTCTGGTTTGTGTCTTTAGACTAGATACTTTGGCATGGCATCTCATTAGCTATAAAGTAAATGATAATATCTACCTTGTACGATTAATAACATGTAACGTATCTAACTCAATAAATATCAGTTCTTCCTTTTCCCCTAATTTGCAAAATGAAGAAGAGACTACCTTCCTATTTTAAATATTCTAGGTCTCTGTTTTAGGATTATTCTGTTCTACATCTCATTAACTACTATACATAAATGGTACCTCCAATAATGAGGTACCTCCTAATTTGAATTTATAACAGGAGTCATTACAATGTGAAATTGGGTTGATTTATAGTTCTAGAAGCATTCTCTCTCCTAACCTCTTGAAGAAGCAGAAAAGGTTCGTGTCCTCTACCAAAGGCTGCATATAAGGAGGGTCCCCATCTTGGACATGATCCTTTGGAGTGAGGAGGCACAGTGACCTCCCCAGGAAGAGCACCCAGATGCTCACACTGCGATGCTTTTCCCACTTGTGGGTTTTGTCAGTGCCCCTGTGATCCCTCTCAGGACCCCTAGGATATTGCAAATGCTAGTACCCAGAATGCTCTGGATAAAATACTGACTACATGAGTCAACTCTTCTACAGAGCCCCTGGGTGAGCCCAAAGCTCCAACTTGAGAGAGATGTTGCAATAATGGCTCTAAAGGATGACTGAACTTCATTCTCCCAGTGTGGGTCTCAGTGAACTTCCTCAATCTTAGACACTTCCTAGACAGAGTCAGACCCGCTGTACAGCGGCAGGACAAAGGAACAGAATTACTTTCTCAGTTTGGCCTATGAGTCCTCTATGCCGACCTTAAACCCAGTGAAGTTCTAAGTATAAAGCATGTCACTCACGGTCATGACCCCAAGGCCTAGAAACTTGGAGTTGATATTTGAGTTGATGCTTGCAGAATTTATTGAGGAATAAGTTCCCCATGTTGGGGAGTATTATGGGCTGACTTGTGTCTCCCCACAATTCATGAATTGATATTCTAACCTCCACTATCTTAAAGTGTGGCTACATTTGAAAACAGGATGTCATATGGGCAGGCCCTAATCCTATATGACTGATGTCTTGTAAGAAGAGATTAGGCATGAACAGACACTGGAAGAAAATGGTCATCTACAAGTCAAGGAGAGGGGTCTTAGAAGGAACCAACCCTGCCAACACATTGACCTCTGTCTTCTAGCATCTGGTAGGTACTAGGACAAATTAATTTCTATTGTTTATGCCACTTATTCTAGGTGGTTCCAGAAAATTAAAACAGGGAAAATTACCAAAACCAAAAAACCCATAATTCTGCCCTTCCTAATGTCTCCAACCAAGGACATCTCCTTACCTGGGACGCTTCATTGAAGAAGTTATGGTGAGGCAGAAGGACAATCAGAATCAAAACGATATGGCTGGCACATGCCTGTCATTCCGGAGGTATGAAGGAGACAGAAGGATAAAAAGTTTGAAGCTATCCTGGGCTATATAGAAAGACTGTCTCAAACAGCAGCAGCAAAACTAAATAAAATTACCTGAGTACTGGTGCCTGGGCTCTTTGTTTGCTGCTGTCCAATCCAAACGTTCACTGGATAAGTGTTCTGTCCTTAGATGCCACCCATGCCTAGCAGTTGTTTTTGTAAAGGATGTAGAGTGAAAAGTGTAAAACAGTCTTTGAAAATAGACATCAGTAAAAGAATATGGATAATCAAGAAATAAACCAAATGTGTACAGCATTGTAATTTATGGAAAACATGATATTTTCAACAAGGAAGGAAAACACAGCCCCACACACAGGATGTTAGGGGAAAAACATGCACAAATGATCCAGGGATAGAAAGGGCATTTTCAGGGGGTACCAAGCCAGTAAGTTGTTTGGCAGATGTGTGATAAATTTAACTACATTAAATATATATATATGTGTATATGTACACACACATACATACATATATATATATGTTTCTCTTTGAGCAAAAATAAGTAAATAAAGCCTTAAACTCTTTGACAAACCAAGGAAATATATTTGCGGTACAGAAAAGCAAACAGGTAAGATCCACAATTTACAGTTTTATATAGTAAGGAAAAAGCAAAATATAAAAATCAAAGAATACACAAGCAGTTAAAACAAAATACGTGTATTAAAAGTAATACTCCACTGAATATGGGGGCACACGCCTTTAATCCCAGCACTTAGGAGGCAGAGGCAGGAGGATTTCTGTGAGTTCAAGACCAGCCTGTTCTACAAAACGAGTTCCAGGAAAGCTACAGCTGTTACACAGAGAAATCCTGTCTCAAATAAACATAAAAAACTACTCCCTGTGGCACTAAGAAATGAGCACCAAAATGATGGAAGATGTGTTTCTTCTGTGAGAGTGGCAGGCGGGGCAGAAGTCAGGAGCCACCAAGCCCTCGAAGGTACGCAGCTTCTCTGGAGGTACGCAGCTTCTCTGGAGGTACGCAGCTTCTCTGGAGGTACACAGCTTCTCTGGAACTATAGAGCTCAGCAGTCCCAAGTCTGTGAGGCCCATCCAGGAACAGTCACACTTGTAAGCCATCAGATAATATTGTAGGAGTGCTAATTATGATCTCTTTTAGGAGAAAAAAACTAGCAATTGCTTCCAATACAGCAACCCTGTTGCTAGGAATTTGCCCTGAGTATGAACTAGCAAAATATTAGGGACAAACCAGGTGCTAGGGAAATTCCCAAGAATCCACAAAGATGACACAAGTAAGACTAGGATCCTAGCAATAGTAGAGAGGATGCCTGAACTAGTCTTCCCCTGTAATCAGATTGGTGAATACCCCAACTATCATCATAGAGACTTCACCCAGTAATTGAAGGAACAAGATGCAGAGATCCAAACCAAGCACCAGGCCAAGCTCCAGGAATCCAGTCAAAGAGAGAGGATGGAATAAATGAGCAATGGAGGTCAGGATCATGATGGAAAAATCTACAGAGACAGCTGAACCAAGCTTGTGGAAACTCATGAACTCTATACTGACAACTATGGATCCTCCATAGAACTGAACTAGGCCCTCCTTATGTGGCAGACAGCTGTGAAGCTTGGGCTATCTGAGGGGCACCTGGCACTAGGACCAGGATCTATCCCTGATATGAGTTAGCTTGCTGGAGCCCATTCCCTATGAGGGGGCACGATGCTCAACCTTAACACAGTGGGGAGAGGCTTGGTCCTGCCCCAACTTAATGTGCCAGACTTCTTTGACTCCCCATGGGAGCCCTTACCTGCTGGAAAGACAGGAAAGAGGGTGGGATAGGAGTAAGGTGAGGGGGACTGGAGGAGGGGTGGGAGGGAGAACCTTGGTTGGAATGCAAAATGAAATTAAAAATAAAAAAAGAACAAAATGTACCAGGATATGTCAGTTTCAAGGATGCTCACCCTACCTTTATCATAATAAGAGGGGGAAATGGAACCAACTAAATTGTTCACAAACTGTTTAAACAAAATTTAAATACATTTACACACTGAATTGGAATGCACCCTTAAAGAAAATGGTATGGGCCTGAATGCTGACTTGAAAGGATGTCTCAGATGTCTATGTATAAAGAGTAAAAAAAGATCTATAATACAACAACATTTTTACTTCATTTTTGAGATTTATTGTTCACAGAGACAAGAAGATGAGGTCAGATCGCCTAGAAGTAGAATTACCTATGATTGTGAACTGTCATGTGGGTGCTGGAAATTGAACCCAGGACCTCTAGATGATCAGTCAGTACTCTTAACCATTGAGCCATCTGTTCAGCCTCAAAGAAGTTTCTGTGTATAGAAAAGTTTACTTGGGTTTGACTATAGACATATATCTATAATTATTTATTCATACATTCATCCACCCATTCATTCAGTGTGTGTATGTGTGTGTCTGTCTGTCTGTAGTGTGTGCACTTGGAGTTGTAGATGGTTGTAAGCCATGGCATGGGTGCTGGGAACAGAATAACAACTGCTCTTAACAACTGATCCATTTCTCCATCTCCCTAAATAAAAATCAACAGATTTTTCCCAACTTAGAGACATTACTTCAAAGATTTTTAATGACAAGTAGAGAAAGAAGACATACTTATTTTTCCATAGAACTGGTTTCTCTTTGTCTAAGAATTCTTGATGGGAGGGTCTTTAAGCAAAGAAAGTTTTATCTCAGCCAAAACAACCCTGTACAATAAAGGAACTTCTGGAGACATCACCACCCCTGACTTCAAGTTCTATTATAAAGCCATAGTCCTGAAAACAGCTTGGTATGGGCACAAAAATAGACAGGTAGACCAATGCAATCTAATTGAAAACTCTGATAAGGACCCACACACCTGCGAACACCAGATTTTTGACAAAGAAGCTGAAATTATACAATGGGAAAAAGAAAGCATTTTCAACAAATGGTGCTGGCATAACTGGATGCTGGCATGTAGAAGACTGAAGATAGATCCATATCTATCACCATGCACAAAACTTAAGTCCAAGTGGGTCAAAGGCCTCACCATAAATCCAGCCACACTGAACCTCTTAAAAGAGAAAGTAGGAAGTACCCTTGAATGAATTGGTACAGGAGACCACTTCCTGAACATAACACCAGTAGCACAGACACTGAGATCAACAATTAATAAATGGGACCTCCTGAAACTGAGAAGCTTCTGTAAGGCAAAGGACACAGTCAACAAGACAAAATGGTAGCCCACAGAATGGGAAAAGATATTCATCAATCCCATATCTGACAGAGGGCTGATTTCCAAAATTTACAAAGAACTCAAAAAGCAAGTCACCAAAACACCAGATAATCCAATTAAAAAGTGGTCTACAGAACTAAATAGAGAATTCTCAATAGAGGAGTCTAAAATGGCTGAGAGACACTTAAGAAAATGCTAAACATCCTTAGCCATCAGGGAAATGCAACTCAAAACAACTCTGACATATCATCTTATTCCTGTCAGAATGGCTAAAATAAAAAACACCAATGACAATTTATGCTGGAGAGGATGTAGAAAAAGGGGAACACTCTTCCACTGCTAGACAGAGTACCAACTAGTAGAGTCACTTTGGAAATCAGTATGGAAATTCCTCAGGAAAATAAGAACCAGCAATTCCACTCTTAGGCATATACCCAAAAGATGCACATTCATACAGCAAGGTCATCTGTTCAACCAAGTTCATAGCAGCATTATTTGTAATAGCCAGAACCTGGAAGCAACCTAGATGCCCCTCAACTGAAGAATGGATACAGAAAATGTGGTACATTTACACAATGGAATACTACTCAGCAAGGGGGGGGGGGGACGACACAACAATGGAATCTTGAAATTCACAGGCAAATGAATGGAACTAAAAGAAACCATCCTGAGTGAGGTAACCCACTCACAAAAAGACAAACATAGTATGTACTCACTCATATCTCATATATGGATTTTAGACACAGAGCAAAGGATTACCAGCCTACAATCCATAACACCAGAGAAGCTAGGAAACAAGGAGGACCCTAAGAGAGACATACATGGTCACCCAGGAGAAGGGGAAAGGGACAAGATCTCCTGAGCAAATTGGAAGCATGGGGAGAGGGGAGAGGGAGTTGGGAGAAAGAAAAGAGGAAAAGAGGAGGGGAGAGGAGGACATGAAGGAGCAGGAAGATTGAGTCAGGGGAAAAATAGAGGAGAGCAAGAAAAGAGATACCATAATAGAGGGAACCATTATAGGTTTAAAGAGAAATCTGGCACTAGAGAAAAGTCCAGAGATCTACAAAGATGACACCAATTAACAATATAAGCAATAGTGGAGAGGCTACCTTAAATGCCCTTCCCTGATAATGAGACTGATGACTACCTTATATACCATCCTAGAGCCTTCATCCAGTAGCTTATGGAAGCAGAGCCTTCATCCAGTAGCTCCTGGAATCCAGTTGCAGAGAGGGAGGAGTGATGAGCAAAGGGGTCATGACCTGGCTGGTGAAATCCACAGAAACAGCTGACCTGAACTAGGGGGAGCTCATGGACCCCAGACTGATAGCTAGGAAACCAGCATAGGACTGACCAAGACCCTCTGATAGTGGGTGTCAATTAGGAGGCCTGGGAAATCTATAGGGCCTTTGGCAATGGATCAGTATTTATCCCTAGTATATGAATGGACTTGGAAGTCCATGCCACATAGAGGGATACTCTCTCTTTCAGCCTAGACACACAGGGGAGGGCCTAGGTCCTGCTCCAAATGTTATGACAGACTTTGAAGATCCCCCATGGAAGGCCTCGCCTTCCCTAGGGAGCAGAAAGGGGATGCGATAGGGAGTTAGTTGGGGGCAGGGGAGGAGGAGAGGGAGAAGAAACTGGGATTGATATGTAAAACAAATTAGCTTGTTTCTAATTTAAATTAAAGAATCTGAAAAAAAAGAAATTTTATCTCTTTTGGTTTGAAACGTAATCTACTTATGTCCCTGATTTTGAACTCTCTGATCTTTTTCTACTAAAAAGCAGATCATATCTTCCACTGGACTCACTGCTCTCTGGTATTTAAATTCATGATGTCATACACATAATTCTGCAATCTAAAAAACAAATTCGTCTGTAGCACACATCAAGCATTCAATATTGAGCATTACTGAGTATGTAGTCAGTGCCAGACCCTGTTC